GTCAAAGGATTTTTTTTAAGGTTTTTTGTTGGTGGTGGTGGTGGTAGGGTGGTAGGGTTTTCCCAAAATTTCTGCTCCAGTGGAGATTTTTCACTATCCTGTTCTTCTCAGACTGTTATATGCTGGGTACCAGATGTAGTTTAGCAGGTGCTTGGGGTTGAAAATGCTGAACAAGATCAGTTCTATTTTCGTGCTTTGAGTGGTAGTGGCAAGCTTGGTGTAACATGAATCTCTGCCCAAAACAATGATTCAAAGCAACTGTGCATGCTATTTAGGAGAAAAGCAAGCTTCTGTGGTTCAAAACAGAGCTCAGAGCTTCTTGTTTTTCAAGCCTCGTGCTCGGATTTTTGGGGGCAGATCTGAGATTTGACTTTCTAGCTGAATGGGAAGGCCTCAGTGCTGATACAAATTCTGGGGATATTTTGGGTTGGGGAAAAAATTATTTTTGTGTGTAGGAAGCCAAGTCTGTGCTGCTTGGATAGGATGAGAGATGCAAGAATGACTGATCAGTGGTGACTTTGTTTACTGGACAAAGGTTTCAAGTTTAAACTTTGAGGGGGTGTACTGGAATTGCCTGAGAGGGCTCAAGCTCAGAGTTCCCTTGACAATGGTTCAGCATCTGTGCTGCTTGGATAGGATGAGAGATGCAAGAATGACTGATCAGTGGTGACTTTGTTTACTGGACAAAGGTTTCAAGTTTAAACTTTGAGGGGGCGTACTGGAATTGCCCGAGAGGTCTCAAGCTCAGAGTTCCCTTGACAACAGTTCAACGTCAGTTTACTGCAGGTTTTACACCTATTAAAGTACTTGGCATCGTCTTAGTGAAGATTTTATTAGTAAAATGAAAGTGGAAACATCTTCAGGCATCACAAATCATCTTTGTAGTGTGGGGTTTTTTGTGCCCTCCTGGCTCCCTATACACATTCATGTATGCATACTTTTTCACAGGTGAGAAAATGGTGCAGATGAATGCTGCTTCTGCTCGAAGGGTGGGAGCATACCTGGAATGGATCTGGAGTAATTGCATGGATGTAATTGCATCTGGATGTAATTGCATGGATCTGGAGTAAAGTAACATGGAAGTGCTGGAGCGCATCCAGAGGAGAGCCACCAAGCTGGTGAGGGATCTGGAGAACAAGTCCTGTGAGGAAAGGGATTTTTGGGGGCAGATCTGAGATTTGACTTTCTAGCTGAATGGGAAGGCCTCAGTGCTGATACAAATTCTGGGGATATTTTGGGTTGGGGAAAAAATTATTTTTGTGTGTAGGAAGCCAAGTCTGTGCTGCTTGGATAGGATGAGAGATGCAAGAATGACTGATCAGTGGTGACTTTGTTTACTGGACAAAGGTTTCAAGTTTAAACTTTGAGGGGGTGTACTGGAATTGCCTGAGAGGGCTCAAGCTCAGAGTTCCCTTGACAATGGTTCAGCATCAGTTTACTGCAGGTTTTACACCTATTAAAGTACTTGGCATCAGCTTAGTGAAGATTTTATTAATAGAATGGAAGTGGAAACATCTTCAGCCATCACAAATCATCTTTGTAGTATGGTTTTTTTTGTCCCCTCCTGGCTCCCTATACACATTCATGTATGCATACTTTTTCACAGGTGAGAAAATGGTGCAGATGAATGCTGCTTCTGCTCGAAGGGTGGGAGCATACCTGGAATGGATCTGGAGTAATTGCATGGATGTAATTGCATCTGGATGTAATTGCATGGATCTGGAGTAAAGTAACATGGAAGTGCTGGAGCGTGTCCAGAGGAGAGCCACCAAGCTGGTGAGGGGTCTGGAGAACAAGTCCTGTGAGGAGAGGCTGAGGCAACTGGGCATGTTTAGTTTGGAGAAGAGGAGGCTGAGGGGAGACCTCATTGCCCTCTACAACTACCTGAAAGGAGATTGTGGAGAGGTGGGTGTTGGCCTCTTCTCCCAAGTGAATAATGACAGGAGCAGAGGAAATGGTCTGAAGTTGCAGCAGGAGAGGTTTAGATTAGATATTGGGAAGAATTACTTTACTGAGAGGGTGGTCAGGCCCTGGAACAGCCTGCCCAGGGAGGGGGTGGAGTCGCCATCCCTGGAGGTATTTAAGAAACGTGTAGACATGGCTCTTCAGGGCATGCTCTAGTGCCCAAGACTGTTGGTTTGTGTCTGTTTGTGAGGGTTTTTTGGTTTGGTTTTTTTGGTGGTTGGACTCGATCTCAAAGGTCCCTTCCAGCCATGAAAATTCTGTGTTTCTGTGATTCTGTAATGCCTCCAAAGAGCAGCAGTAACACTCACCTTTCAGCTTCCCCACAGAGAGGAGCCCAGCTCCTCAGGGTAACCCTGGGACGGCTAAAGGCAACAGGAATGGGGAGATACGTTGTGTGTGCATGTGGAGGCCCACATGTGTCTGCTTTTGTACTCTCAGGTGACAGACCTTAAGAAACTTTCCAGGTTAGCTTGTGTCTTACTCTGAGCTCTCCAAGCCTCTCCCTGTGCATCATTTTTGTTCCAGCTTCATCTCCCCCAGCTCACAATCTGTCTGTCATGACTCACACGCTCTCTGGCTTTGATTTAGACTCCATCTGCTTTCTCAGCCAGTCAGATCCCACTTCTTCTGTAACACACCGTAGGAAAAGTGTGGGACTGGAGCAGAACATGTATCTGTATTCAGGAGAGAGGAGGGGGAGGTGTACTGATTCCAGCATCAAAGCTTCTCCTTGTCTCATCTGCCTCAGTACAAGCGTTTGGCTAAGCTGCAAGATGTAATTTGTACTTGTAATGAGGCTGGGGCTGACTTGGAGAAACTTGTCCTTCCTGAGGGTGTGTGGACCCTCGGAGCAGATTTGGTCTGAGAGTGTTGCCACTGCATATTTATGGGTTTTTAAAAGGAACGTCCTTTCTCCCTTGCTTATTTAAAGGACTATCACAGTTCCTTGAGAAAAAAATAGCAGTTTTTTCTATTTTCTTTTGCCTCTTCTCTGCAGGCAGGGGAAGGTGACACGAAGGTAGCTGGGAGGCTGTGTTCTGGCCCAGCAGCCAGAAACGGGCTGCAATCCTCTGTTGGAGGCAAGCAGCTGGTGCGCGCTAAAGACTTGCCCTCAGATCACCACTGTCTTCCCACAGGGACAGGGTGACCCTTGGAGGACTGAAGATGACTTTAGGCAGGGAAAGGCTGTCCCCAGTTAGCTTATAGAGAGGGATCATGTGTCAAAGACAACACAGAGCTCGTGGGTTCTGAATTACAGACAGCAAAAATAAATCTCTCCCTCTTCAAGAGACTAGCTGGGGAGATTTCCCTCTACTATAAGCTTATCACAGACTCTTCCACCTATGAGCATCATCAGAGAGGAATTAGTACAAGGGCAATCCTTGGAATTAAAGCCAGGAGGGAATTCTCCTTGGGAGACTGGGTTAGAAGTAATGATATTTTTTACTTGCTCCTGAGGCAGCTTATGAAAACCCACCTGTTAAGGTGAAACTGGTCATTCAAAGTTAGATAATGTTTTACTAATATCAGGAAAGGAGATGTGGCCCAGCATCGGGGAGAATGTCCCCCAGAACATGTTCTTAGAACCTGGATTTCCTCTCTGTTGCTTTTAAGTGGAAACATATCCAATAGGCTGCTTGGGACTGCATGTAAGTGCCATGACTCACCAAAAATACGATAGGAGAGGTAGGATGTTAGAGGAAAGCTGCAGAATACACAGGATTTGATTTTGCCTGTTTACTGAGAAAAACCTCACAAGGACAGTGAGTTAAACAAAGCAGCATCTTATCTTTGGATGCTAAAGTTTTGCATGCACGACACGAACTGACAAGACATCTTTTTTGCAAGATAGAGATCAAGGTCTGCTCCAGATTTAGAACTGGAATAGAGAGGGATACTGCAGACAAGGGTTGAAGTCTCTGCTGTTAGTCACAACGGAGAAAAGCTGGCAAAGTAGAGAGCTGGAATTCTCAGATCTGAGGTATGCAGAAATATGTGGAAAGTAGGCAGGATAGAATTACCAGGAAAGAGAGCAGGATTTTTTCGGAGAGAAACCTGTTTTCAAAGTGTAGAAAACGTGGCTTCCCTCTGCTGTATTTCTTGGCAGCCTGATAACACTCCATTTTAAATTTTTTTTTGAGCTCTTATATTTTAAGACTATAACTTTGTAAAAATTGTGAACAGTGATTCAGAGAGAGACAAAGACAGGTATTTGAAATATAGGTGCATACGTGCTGTTTTACTCCTCTTCCTCCAACTCTGAGGATGCCCTTATTTTAGATTTTCCCATTCTATTTAAAAATTCCAGAGATGATGGGAAAACACAGGGACTTTCCTCCCTTCCAGTGCTTTTCTTAGAGCCCTGGCTGAATTCAAGATACAAAACAAAGACCAAATATTTTCATCCCATCTGTTTTCAGGGCACAGCTCAGCTGAAGGACAGAGGAGGAGCTCCTCACTGCACCCCCATCCAGGAAAATCCCAGAGTAAAAAATTGAGAAAGAGGAAAAATATTCTACATGGGAATGTTTGCGGGGGGGAGGGGGATGCAAGATAAGAGCTAGTGAAAAGAAACTGCAGCAACATGGAGATGATTGCAGTCGGAAGCTGCAAATATGCTTCTAGGCTGGAGGTCTGGCTGTGTTTACACTGGTGCCTGCAAGCCAGGTGTGACTGGAAGGATTACACCGATGGGGAGAACGAGAAGAGCTGCTCCTCCTCCACTTTCCACATGGCAGAGTGACCCAGAGCATCCTGACTGTGTCCAGCAGTATTCATGTCCTGTTACAGTCCCTTCTGTCTCTTACGTAGACGTGGCAGAAGCCTAAGCATTACGAGCCTGCCCTTAGCCACCTTGCAGTCCACGTCTGAGCCCTGCAGACACCCATACAGCCCCACAGCCTAACAGTCTTTGCACAGCAAGAAAGCAGCAGAAGAAGGGGTCGGTCCCATCCCCCTTCTCCCAGCTGAATCAGCCCTCTGTGGGGATCGCAAAGAACATCCAAAAGCTCCTCTTTGAGGAGCGAACACAAGAAGACTGATTCAACTCCCCAGCCGGACTACTCCCCTCACACCGGCTATAAGGGCACATCCTCATCCTCATCTTCATCCACATCCAGGTCAGTGGAGCGTAGGCTTATGTCCTTGAGGATGTCTGAGATGTTTTCAGCAGCTGGCCCTGTGAGCTCCATCTCTTCCAACTCGGTATCGGTGGCATAAGTGGAGCACGGGACCTCCCCTTCTTCGTGCGAATGGGAGGGCTGGGGGGAGTGTGAGCAGGGGGGCAGTGGGCTCTCTGTGCCCGAGTCCGCCGCTTGCTGTGCCGCCGCCGTGCCGCTGTCCTGCCGGCTCCACACCTGGGCGGGCTGCCTGACCTCACCGCTGATGGAAGCCCGGTTGGTATCGCGGAAACTGGCGAGGGGTGGGCGGAGGCGAACCCCAGAGCGTGTGGAACCCTCTATTGCCTTCTGGAGCTACAAGAAGAGGAAAAAAAAAAAAAAAAACAAAAATCAGAAAAAAAGGATGAAAGGAAGGCTGACCCAGCCCTGCCTGGCAGAGGTTCATCTACTTTCCAGGGTAAAGGGATCACAAATAGAGTCACAGCTCTACCTCTGGGGCCTGTGGAGATCATCTTTTACATTGGTGTTACAAGTTTTCATTCCATGTTAAATAATAAATTCCACACCACTTTCAGAGACAGTAAGAGCCACTCAGTTAAGAGCCCTATGTTCATGAAAAGGATGAACCACGTAACATCACAGGTAATTAACGACAGAACGAGAGGGAACGGCTTCAAGCTCCAACAGGGTAGGTTTAGACTGAACATTAGGAAGGAATTTTTCACTGAAAGAGTGGTCGGGCATTGGAACAGGCTGCCCAGGGAGGTGGTTGTGTCACCGTCCCTGGCTGTGTTTAAGGGCCGTTTAGATGCCCTTCTGATGGATATGGTGTAGGGGAGGACTTTGTAGAGTAGGGTAGATGGTTGGACTCGATGATCCCAAGGGTCTCTTCCAACCTCAATGATTCTATGATTCCATGATTCTATGATCCCTGTAAACAGCCTCCTCTGAAATACAGTCATCTGTTCCTCTACATGGCTTCCAAAGGGTTGACTCAGAATTCAACACTGGGTAGAAAATGGGGCAGTCAGTTATATATATTCCCAGCTGGATCTTCCAGCACCTGTAAGTTATTGCAATGATCCCCAGGACATTTGCAGTTGATTAGGAGGAGATGAAAGGACCTGTACTTACCTCTTCCAAAGCCAACACTCCCCTCAGCTTCCCCCCGCTGGTTATATAGGCATGGCTGAGGCCCAGCAATGAGAACAATGTATGTGTCTATGAGCAAAAAACACAAAAGCCCTTTTCAGAGACGTTGGAAACTGGTAACATGATACTTGGTGCTAGAGCTGGGACTTGGAATTTAGAAATGGGAATCGCAAAGGCGCACAAGTCTACACTTATCTCAGTGAAAAACTACCTCTTCCTTTCCCCTTCTGCAGCTAGCAAATACTACCCCTGGGTAGTATAGCCAAAGTTGGCAGCGTGTTGATGATGGAGAGCATGTTCTCAAGGTCACTTTCACCCTGCATCTGGCAAACAGAGATTCATGTGCAACACCTGCGTATCTGGGGACTTGCGCAGATCCTATTTCATTCTGGTGCTGGAAATTGAACTGCATTATAGTAATATGCAAAGGCAGAACCTGCTTAGTTTATTCATTCCAGTGCTTTCCTTAACACTAGAATATTTCTTTTTTCCTGTTCCAGAATATTTCCTGTCAGAACTTAAGCTTGTTGCTGCTTATCCAGTGCAGTGTGGACACTGAGAACAATCTCTTCCCTTTCTCTTAGAAAGCCTTCTTAGGAGGACAGATACCACACTGCTATTGATCTTCTTTTCTTCAGGCTAAATATACCCCATTATTTTACTGTTCCTCATTGATCAGGCTTTCTAAAACTTTCAGCATTCTCAGTGCTCATCTGTGGTGTATCTCCAACCTCCAACTTCTTTAAGCTGAGATCTAGCTTGACTTTGCCTGTGGTCTCACATGAAGCCATTCTTTCAAAGGTGGTGTTTGCCTTTTTGTTAAACATCACATGAAATGTTGAATGCCGTGTTGAAGTATAAACTAGGGAAAATCTAATTTCTGAGGAACAAGACATTTTACCCTAATGTAAAGAAACTCAAACTGGTTAAATACAATTTCATCATGATAAGCTGAGATCTTCTCACCATTGTCAGTAGTCTCACATTTAGCTGTAACTGTGTGTACTTCAGATAGTCTGGTCATTTATTCCTACATCTTTTGCATATCCAAGTTAAGTTGACTTCTTTCAAAGCTTCTCATTTGCTCTTTTTTATGAGAGGTATGAAACTTTTCCCCATTTGCAGTCTTCAGGTATAATTTTGTATCTCCTATATGCTCAAAGATAAATGCTAGTGGTTTTCAGATGACTTCAGCTAGCCCTTTAGAAAACACCAAACTCATCTTAAGCATATGCTAACCTGCTCTTATTTTTCTCAAGGCTGAGATCTTACCCCTTTGATAACAGTAATTTTGTGCAAGATATATGCTGACCATTCACATTAAATGAATATTGATTAAAACATGCGCTGTGCACCTAAACTTCATTAGACTGCTCCATTGAGTGAAAGCCAAGTCCTCTCTTACTCCTGATATACAACAATTGCTTTTATCCCCAGTCATCCTGCGCTAACCCTAGAATTTGTATGATCCAGCTTCTTCTTTACTCGTGCTTCAGTTCAATGAGGAGCCTACGGTATAGGGTGGTTTCAAGCAGCTCTTCTCATGCACTGAGGAAGTCTCTACACCCTGACAGAAACACCCTGACAAATCCAGGAGTACTCATTCCAGTGCTGCATGCTAACAAAGCATGAGTGTAAATCTCAGTGTAATGTCCCCCCCAGCAGCAAGGCATACAATGCTTCTGTCAATGTAGTGGCTGGAAAATCCTACATGGTGTCCAAAAGCTATTCTAATAAATGCACTCCTGCTTCTTATCATATAGCCTTTCATTTTGCAGATGATTGCAGGTACATGCAGAAGGTTATAGGAACAAATTGACTTCTGTAGCTGATGTTGAAGTAGCTGGTGATAGTAGTTGTAGGTGAAGAAATATGTCATATACTAGACTTGCGATGATAGATAGGGTGGAGAAAATCAGTGTATGCCTCAGAGAGACATCTGCACCCACCTTGTGCAGGGAAGTTCTTTCCACCAGCTGGAAAGGAGAAGGGTCTATGCGGCAGCTGTCAAAGCACACATTCTTGTTGAGCTCCTCCTGTTCCCAAGCATCTATCTGACACAGGAAAGAAGAGGAATCACTTTTACGGTAATCAGCAGCATTGTTGCTGTCTTGTGTACCCAAACTTGTCCCATTCTCCTGTTAAGGCTTCTTCCTTCCTATGCAGATCATTCATCTCACCCATTATATCACAGCCCTCAGGTTTCCCATCCCTTCCTTGCCACATGTCAAGTGCCTGTGGAAATTTCACTACTTCACAAGTTTTCTTAAGAAGGTGAGGTTTTGCTCCTTCCTGCTTAAAGGAGGAGTGAACATCTTAGCTTTCCTTTCTGAGTGCATCTTCACCTTGTTATTGCAAGACAATAGTTCCTTTGTGTAAAAAATGAAGGAACAACACAGATGCACAGAAAGATTTAGGTGAGGGGGAATCTCTGGAGGTCTCTAGTCCAAAACCCTGCTCACAGCAGGGCTGACTTCAAAGCTAGAGCAGATTAGTCAGAACCTTACTCAGCATATGCAGCAGAACAATCTCTTCTCTTACTGGGTGAGACTTGCCCTCTGTGCAACTCTGAGAAGAAAATGGCTTTAGCTATGGCTTTATGTGGCAATCACTGAGGTTGTCAGAGTTCAGGAAGTATTGCACGTGACAGGAAATGGGCAAAAGAAATACTAAATTGACCTCACTCCCTTCCTGCACCCAGTCTTACCTCTTCTGGCTTCATTGTGTCTACTTCCTCAGGCTCCTGTAGGAGAAAACACTGTTCAGGACACACAGAGAACCCACAGTTTCACAGAGTACAGAAAGGAAAAAATTTGCACAATCTTCTTACCCCATGTGTCCCCTTTTTGTTCCAAATAGTATATTACTGAGTGTTTAGAGTTTCTTTATATTCCTATATTATAGTGTAGTCTATATTTGCTGTGCTTCCCCTGCCAATCCCAAGATTGACTATGGTGGAGCAATTCAGGTGCTGAAACATGGTCATCTAGTACTGCTTTAGATGCTCTCAGATATCCCACATGGGGTCCAACCACTGCCCTAGAGTGGATGGGTCTCCCGTAGGCCCTGTATGATATTCACAAACTCTGTGCAGATATATCAGATACCCAAGGGCATCTAATATGGCATAAGGCAAAAGCATTTTTGTTGTTTTTATCTGGCCAAAACTGTTTGCCCAATGGAATAGAACCACACTTTATTCCAGGTTAACCAAAATAGCATTAAGTTATTCGCTGAGAAAAAGATGCCCACGCTCAGTCATGATGGTAGCCCCGACACCTGAGCACAGAGGGCTCTTCCTTTACAGTAATCACACCCTTTCTCCTTGGAGAGAGTTCCCCACTGACACTGTCAGAGTTCAGAGCCCTAAGTGTGTCCACACTTTGGCCAAATGCTGAATGGCTCCGAGTAGTAGGTTCTATTTCCAATGCATTCCCTTCTCTCTTGAGGGTACCACTAGGCTCTCTGCATCCCTAACCTGGCCGGCGCTCTCTGTTTCAAGTGGACGGTTGTAGTGGCACAAGAGCTGTTGGATCAGTTGCCTCAGACTCCTGAAATTGCCTGAAGGATGAAAACATACACAAGGTTAAGAGAGAAGGACAAGTTAGAGACAAAAATACACAGCCCCATGCCCATCTTGCCCAAGGCAGGCTGGGAAATAATATGAGGGACATAGTAGATAGTATATGAAAGGGCTGAGCCAGTCACAATCTAGCATTCAATTTGTAAGATGGTGTCTGTGACATGCTAGAGTAAATATTCCCATGCAATATTTTTTTTCTCAAGGAGAGGAAACAAACCATTGCAAAAAACCCCCCCCAAAAACCCACAAAGCCCAGAAGCAAGACTATTAACACAGCAAACAATCTGCTACAAGGGATAAAAATGCTGTGACGAGAGGTTTCCACAGTCCACAAAGAGAATGTCATTTGGAGGATGAGTATAGAAAGGGGAGGTGAGAATACAGTACCACTGTACTGCCCTGGAAGCATAAAGAGGAATTTCCTATGCCTTCGAGGTTTAGTCATACATGAGTGGTGTTACAGAACCAGAATGTGCTATGTTATTTTACGTGCTAACTGTTGGGAGCCTAAAAGCATGAGCCAGAGCCCTCCGTATTCATTCTCAAGACTGGGCTACACCTCTGTGCTTACTCACTCTCTGCATATTTCAAGACACATACAGGAGAAAAAACCCAACAAAACACCATCCTGCATCAAATATACATGACATACGAATCAGAAATGAGCTATGAGTACAGTCTTGGAAGCAAAGCTGGGGTGGCACACAAAGAGCACAATACACCAGTATTTTTCCATCATATTAATGTAGCTGAATCAAAGAGATGCGTGTCCAAGGGAGGAGCTGTTCAGTTTTGGAGATGGCTGAGCAACAGCCTAAGCTACTCAAAAAACAAGTACAGGTGTTTAGTGCTCAGGCTGCTTTTCCCAGGGAAAATAACTCGTGGGGTGAAGGAGACAAGACCCTTCCATGCAGATTCTCCAGAAAACGTCCGAGGAGATGTTATTGCAAAGGATGGAGTGTGGGGAGTACTGGCAGAGGGAGAGCAGCCTGAGTGGGTCTACTTTAGCCATGCTCTCTGAGGGATCACAAACAGAAGACATTTCCAGGTACGTTACACTGATGTTGAGGTGCATTCACAAAGTACCTTTAATACAGGAACAGCAGAGAAAGGTCCTTCTCTCAGTCTCTGGGAAACCAGCACCTCGCACAGGCACGTACACACAGTTAGCATGGAAGCTTCCACAAGCTGGCTAGGATGTGGCTGAGGCATGCCAGAAGTTACCATACCTGGGAGTTGCTGTGGCTCCAAAGTTTCAGGTATTTGTTTAAGAGGACTTGTTGGGCCATTGGGCTCCTCTGGGTAACTGGGAGTGGGACTTGGGGGCCGAGGTAGCTGTTACAGAAAGGGGAGAAAAGAAAGTCCACCTTGTGTCATTTCTTTCTCAGCCTCTCCAAATGCCTTACTGCTTCTTAAGCAGGCTCTGGGCTGTAAGTCTCTCCACTTCTCTCCCTCACCTCTCCCTTCTCATCTGCATCCTCATCCTCGTCAACATAAGCAAAAGATTCGTGCTTCAGCTTTGGCAGGGTTGCCCACGGCCCCTTGCTGTGCCCATCGTAGGGTGACTCAGACAGCTTCTGCTGCATTTCTCTGTGGAGGAGCCGTCGCCGTTCTGGGCTTATATGTCTCTGGAGGAGAGTCTGCAGTTCAGATCGCTCTATAGACCCCAGAAGGATCATGGTTTCTGCATAACAGAGCAGGGAAGCCATTAAGCCACTTCAAGGTTTTGAATGTCCCCTGCCACACACTGCCCCTTCCTCCCTCCAACCTCTTCAAGATGCTCAGACTCGTACTACGTAGAGTCATTGACCAGCCCTGGTAGGTGCAGCTCATACGCTGTGGGGCTGTGGAAGCTCACCACCCCTGAGTTGTGCCACTCCTCAGCACCACATCAGAAGCAGGCTCTTTACTTATGCAAGATCTCTACCCACTGTCACAATTCAGTCCACAAACTTCCCACACACCTCCCTTACCTCCTGTATCTGCCTCCCTGCCCACGCTCCAGCTTACCTGTCTGACCAGCTGAAACAGCCTCCTGTCACACACCATCCATAGTGGAAGATTTTTAGGGTGATTTTTTATGTATTGGGTCACACTATCTCCTGCACAGCATGTAATTTGAAATCTAGTTTCTTTGGCTCTTTAAGTTGAGACAGTCTTCAGGAAGGACCAGTTTCTCCACCTTGCTTACCTGGTGAGTCCACCAAAGGCAAAGTCTTAACGGTGGTGCTTTGGAGTAGAGTTTGCAAGTCTCGGTATTTACAGTTGGAGGAGACGAATTTCACATCTTGGACCATAATATCCTCAACAAAAACATTGTATTTGCTGTGAATTTATGGACAATAAGGGGAAGAGTTAGCATATTAAAAATGTCTACCAGGTGAATTCCGTTAAAGTGTTCTCAATACAGTTGCTAAGTCTTCTGTGAGAGTAACCAGAGGACTTTCCAACAGGATCAACACAGATTAAATGGATTTTCATTACAGTTGTATTCCAATCCATTGCCCCTCACCACAAAAATACACACATACATATACATGTATGTTTGTATAGATGTTATATATATACATACCTATGTATATTATATATACTAGAGAGAAGAAGACATGTATATGATTTTTGTTTAAAGCAAACTATCCACATACAATTATATTTTATTTTATATTTCTCCACTTGCTGGAGAAAAAAAAATCCAAACCCCATTGAATTCAGAAAAAATGGAAATGAGACACTTGAATTTTAAATTTTTAAACTGAAGCAATGCGGCAGTATTAATAGAAATTCAGTAATGTTGCAGATTATTTAAAGCTGTGCTTTCAGTGAAAAAACAGAAAAGGACTTTTCTCCATTTCTGTGTATGAATCCTAATTCTACTCCACCGCTCGCTTTTTCTTGCTGCGGGCCTTTTAATTTTCTTTGTAGTACTGTCCCCTTTTCATGACCTTTTATTCTCCTATGGTTTCATCCTCTTGTGCTTTATTTCTTTGCAACTCCCCACCTCCACCTCTGTTCTACCACTGTACCTTATGGGATTCCAGCCCAGGTCTGGCAAGTAGGGCAACTTCTTCACCTGGATGATGCTATCATAGAGGCTGGGTTGCAGACTCTGGGCCACCATGTTGGCAAGAATGACAGCCACCATCATGGGGAGGATGTGAGAGATCTGACCTGTCAGCTCGAAGCAGATCACAGCAGTGGAGACAGTGTGGCTCACTGCTCCTGTCAGAGCTGCTGCACCTTTCCCAGGTAGGGTGGAAAAGAAATAGGGAGAAAAGAAGACTGTACTAAAGAAACAGCATGTCATGTCAACCAGGAGAGTCAAGGGGATGGGACCAGGTGAAGAAAAAGAAAGACATGGAGACTCACCAATGACAGCATACCCTCCAGGTAAGATTTGGTAAACGATACCATCAAAGAGGATCCCATTGGGAAAAAGCGATGCCATGATTTCCCCAATAAGACGCCCAAATGCAGCACCTGGAAAATATCACTGACAATTATGGAATTAACATCTAAGGAACACCTAGTCTGTGCTGTGTGGCCATGCTCAGCAATCGCTAGAGTATTTCTAACAGAAACAAAATCAAAACTTACATTAAAATGACATTTTGTAACTGAGAAGTTAGACTCCAAGAAGACTAAAAAGTACTAAGATATGTAAATACCTCAGTTGACCCCTTCCATTTAGGTGCATCAAGGCACAGTGATATTTGTGATACCCAGGTAAGAAGAAATATTTTTATAATATGTACAATGTCACTCCAGGTCGCAGCTGAGGCCCTTCACATACTTCATACTATGAATGTCCAAATGCTAGAATCACAGCTCACAGAAGATTTTAGGCGGGAAGGAACTTTTTGGAGGTCTTGCTCTGTCTCCTGCTCACAGCAGGGCTAATTTCAAAGGTCACGCAGGACCTTGTCCAGACAAGCTTTAAAAGTCTGCAAGGATGGAGATTCTCCAGCCTTTCTGAGCACCTTAACCAAGGAAACATTTTTTTATGTCCCATCAGAATTTCCCCTGTTGCAACCTGTGCCTTTACCTCCTATTTACTGTGTGTTTCTAAGAGGAGTCTTTCTGTCCTCTCTGTCCCCTGCTGCATTAGGTGGTGAAGGCCACAGTTAGATCCCCTCTTGGCCCTCTCTTCTACAGGCTGAACAAGCCCAACTTCTTCAGGCTCTCCTTGTTTGTTTTGTGCTCCAGCTCCCCAACAACCTCTGTGGCCTGCCCTGGACTCATTGCATTTTGTCAAAATCTCTTGTATTGGTGGTCACAAAATAACATTCCAGAATTGTGTCCAAAATACTGAATACAGGGAAATAACCAATTTCTTTTTCTTGCTGGCTCGGCTTTTCCTAATACAGCCTTGTTTGTGGTCAGCCTTCATCACTGCAAGGGCAAGCTACTGACTCATGTTCAGTTGCTACCTGCCAGAACTCAGAGGTCTTTAGTGCACACCATTTCATAGAAACATAGAATTGTCCAGGTCGGAAGGGACCTCCAAAGGTCATCCAGTCCGACCTCCCCGCAGTCAGCAGGGACCAATTAGACCAGGTTGCCCAGGGCCTCATTGAGCCTCACCTTGAATATGTCCAGGGATGGGGCCTCAACCACCTCCCTGGGCAACCTGTTCCAGTGCTCCACCACCCTCACAGTGAAGAACCCTCTCCTCATCTCCAGTCTAAATCTGTTCCCCTCCAGCTTGAAGCCATTGCTCCTCGTCCTGTCACTACAGGCCTTTCTAAACAGGTTCTCCCCAGCCTTCCTGTAGGCTCCCTTCAGGTACTGGAAGGCTGCTATTAGGTCTCCCCGGAGCCTCCTCTTCTCCAGGCTGAACAACCCCAGCTCCCTCAGCCTGTCCTCGTAGCAGAGGTGCTCCATCCCCCTGATCATCCTTGTGGCCCTCCTCTGGACCCTCTCCATCAGGTCCATGTCTTTCCTATGTTGAGGGCTCCAGACCTGCACACAATACTCCAGGTGAGGTCTCACCAGAGTAGAGTAAGGTAAGTAAAGTAGGAAGAATCACCTCTCTGGACCTGTTAGCAATGCATCTTTTGATGCAGCCCAGGATGTGATTTGCCTTCTGGGCTGTAACTGCACACTGCCTGCTCATGTCCAGCTTCTCGTCCACCAGCACCCCAAAGTCCCTTTCCTCAGGGATGCTTTCTAATACCTCACCCCCTAGCCTGTACTGATGGCAAGGATTGTTCTGGCCCAGGTGCAGAACCTTTCACTTGTTCTTGTTGAACGTCATGAGGTTCACCTGGGCTCACCTCTCCAGCCTGTCCAGGTCCTTCTGGACGACATCCCATCCCTCTGGGATTAAATTTCATTTAAGAGCTGTGAGTACATAATACTGAACTTCATAAGCCTGTATACTTTAGCCTAACATAGCCTCTCATTCTTAACATTAGCATCATATTTTTTTCTACTTTTTGGTGTTGGAATTTAAACCAGTTAAAAACCAATAAACTCTCGTATGTTACCATATTTCAGCCAGATGAAATGAATAAACCGTAGATTACATTGCAGGTGCTAGTTTTGAGGTTATCTCTTCTAGCTGGCCTTTAGGGGCAAAAGGAACAACTACTACTAATTTTAGGATGAAAGCTTCTCCGTAGGTGAGGAGACAGAGAAATTAGAAGGCCATGGCTCAGCATGCCTCCCCACAGTGGGGCTTTCCTTCTGTAAAAAGGATAGGGATTTCCTCCTCAGCCTTTGGATTGGGGGAGTGGGAAAACGAAAAAAGCACAGACTCAGGCTGGTACATGGAGTGTTAATTGAGCTTGTCATAGACATCAAGTGATGACTCCTCATCCACTAGAAGAAACCTACTGGGTACGTACGCAATATCTCTCTTATCCTCTCCACCTGTCAGACCTAAATGCTGCAACAGAAAATTGAAACTCACCTAGAACAAAAACAGGCATGAAGCCTCCACAGGGGATTGGCATCGTGGTAGCAATGACAGACATCCAGAACTAGAACAGAGGCAGAGGGTGCAGTTGTTACCGAGCAGCAATAGCATTTCCTGCAGCCCTACTCTTGAATCCATGAGGAGACATGTTCTGAGGGCTCTGGCAGTTCAGCCAGAAAGTGAAGGGTAAAGGGGCTGTGGGGTGTGAAGGGGAGCTGGAGCAACTCCAACACGACACCAACACTGGTGCAGAGGACCTTTGGGTGACCACTGTGGTGGCAGGGAAACTGAATCACCAAGGGGATGGGTGAACATGAGAAATCGTTTGCCTTGGACCTCAGAACCAGAGATTTTCCACTGCTCCAAACAGCTTAGCTTTTCATAGAACGAGGTCGTTAGAGAACAAGATTTCGGTATGAAGGGAACTCTGGAGGTCCCTCCTCCAACTCCCTGCTCCCTGAAGGGCTAATTTGTAAGTTAGATCGGGTTGCTCAGTGCCTTATCCAGGTGAGTTCTGAACATATTGAAGGGTGAGATTCCCCAGCTTTTCTGGGCATTCGTGCCACTGTTGACCCACACTCATTCTCGGGTGAGAATTTTTTCCTGAATTTCAACTGTCTTAACTTTTCTTTATTCTCGCTTGTGTCTGGTGTCTTTTATCCTATCACTATGTTGGGCAAAATGATGAAATCTGTCCTGGTACAGCTAAGACCAATTCAAATGCTGACTTAGCCCAGCACATATAGCCTTCTTCTGGAGGCAACAGCCTAATCTTTGGCCTCAAAGGCCAAAACACTGAGACTTTCTCGGGCAACATGACAAGAGATTTCCACAGTTGAGGGAAACAAAGAGAATGCCACTGTTTCAAAAGCTTGTACAAAGAAGCGTACCGGCAAGATGTCCCTTGCCACAGCAGTATCACCCACAGGAGAGACATAATCATGGTTCAGCACATCAAGAACAATAATTTCAGGTATTTCAGGACAATATTCTCCTCAGAGTGGGCAAATCCTTCCTGTTCAAGGCCCACCTCTGAGAAAGTAATGCCTCTGCAGACATTGTTGTAGCTGTAGACAGATGAGATACTAATCTGTAGACAGTCAGTTTGGTGAGAGGAAATCAGCTTTTCTGCTGTAACTCTCATAGGATGGTTGGCATAAAAGGGAAAATGAAGCCAAGATATAGCCTGCTGTTTACGAAAGCCCTTAAAAAAGGTAACAAAGAGCCCACAGAACAGCATTTCTCATCCTGTGGTAGAGGAACATGATATGAGGATGGGTTGGACCATCAATTTGATACTGGCTGTTGCTCTTCCCTTCATAAACCATTTGAATGTTCAAGAGGAGAAGTTCCTGGTGGCTACAGAGGCCAGCAAGCTGCAGAAATGGAGTACTGCTAAGCTCTGTGTTTGCAGCTCAACCCAGACCAAATACATCTGAGATATGGGACTGTAGTGCAGTGGAGAATCAGGCCAAGTCTTTGCCCAGAGTTGAAACAGAAGCTTCTTTTTTATGTGGTGGATCCCAAATCAGAGTATATCCAGAAGGAAATAAACTGCTTGGAGCAGTTACCTAGTGAGTTGAGAAAGCCTTTAGTTAATGAGACAAGGCCAATAAATCTAGTGTCTGCGGATAAAGCTCTTCCAAAGGCAAACAGGTGGACCCAAGATAGATACACCATGTAGTCCATTCCTCTTTTATTCAAGTAAATGTGACCTTATCTGCTTGGTACACTATAATCAGAATTATCACAGAAGCAGGACTCTTAACAGCCTGTCAGAAATTCGATACAGTGTTTTACTTTAGGTAGAATCAGCTGTGTCAATCAATCACTGATGTCCATTCCTGATCTACCAAAATGTTCAAATGATACTGCAAGGTGGCCTCAGATCTTTTGGTCCTTTCAACAAAAAAAAAATAAATTCAACATTTCTATGATATTTTTACCCTTTTATCTCCCCTCCCGCCTTTGGAAAACCTCTTTCCTGTTACTTGTATTTAGAACACTGTAATATAATGTTTTCTTCTTTCACATCTCTTCTCTTGCTCTGTCATGTATCAGTTACCCAGCTGATCCCTTCAGAGGCTGAACAGTTGCAACTTCCACAGACCACGTCAGATCAGAACACTTAATCTGCTGTTGCTTTCCAAGAAGCGAGCAAAACTGTTTTCAGCTGCATTTCTCCCTCAAGTTACAGTACTGCTGAGAAATCCTTGAGCCTCACAAAACCATAGATTGTGCTTGCCTACTCTTACGTGTCTCCTATCTGTAGTCAGGAACATCAAGTAGACCGTATCAGACTTCAGTTAGACCAAATATAAATTATATGAGAGTTTTTTACTCAATTATTTATTTTTGTGGAACTTGAGAAATCTTTCCTGGTGTAGTCCTCCCTGCCAGCTACTACTATGCAGTGGGCACCAAGGGTCAGTCAGTAGGATGCATGAGGAAGATGACCTAGGGATGCAGTGAAGGAGGTCATTATATTAAACCAGCGAAATATTCCCTAATAAATTTGGTAATCTTGCATTCAAGGTGCGCAAACATCACATCAAAAGATGTAAGAACCCACTGCAGTTGCAGTGCTTCATTCGATACCCAGCAGCTCCTCATTGGCAGTTCACAAACTAGTTGACAAAGGACTCATTTACTCTGAGAGGAGAAGCTTTATGGTGAGATGGGTTTCTTACCTTGATGACGAAGAAGAGCAGGATGATGATGTAAACACTGACTTTAGGATGGATCCAGGCAGCAGATTTCCCTAGGATCTGAGGATCCCCTGTGAATTTTGCCCAGGTATAGTTATCAAAGAGAGAGCTGATGGCTTCCCGTGGCATCAACTAAACAGCAAAAAAACAGGCATGAGCCATGAGATTAGACCGAGTAAATATTCTATCTCTGTTCCAAGAAAGTGGAGATTTTTACTTCAGTAATTCATGATTATGAGACTTAATTCACATGTTTAATTTTCAGGAAGAGAGACAGGATTTTACCTGAACTGGTGAAAGGATAACTAGTTCTACACACAGGGTAACATCTTCCTTATTACTTGCTCAGGAGAGTGGACCTTTTTCAAGTGTTATATGAGAGATCATGAGTCTCAGAATACAGTCCTTCCTCAATCCAAACTCCTCCCATATCTTTTTTCCCATTTCCATGACAGAATCACAGAATGATATGGGGTTGGAAGGGACATCTGGAGATCATCTAGTCCAACCCCCCTGCCAGAGCAGGTCCATGTAGAGCAGGTTGCACAGGAACATGTCCAGGCAGGTTTTGAATGTCTCCAGAGAAGGAGACTCCACCACCTCGCTGGGCAGCCTGTTCCAGGGCTCTGCCACCCTCAAAGTGAAGAAGTTCCTCCTCATGTTTAGACGGAACTTCTTATGTTCAAGTTTGTGCCCATTTCCTCTTGTCCTATCACTGGGCACCACTGAAAAAAGACTGGCCCCTTCCTCTTGACACCCACCCTTTAGGTATTTATAGGTGTTGATCAGTTTCCCCCCCTCAGCATTCTCTCCTCCAGACTAAAAAGACCCAAGTCCCTTAGCCTTTCCTTGTAAGAGAGATGCTCCAGGCCCCTCATCATCTTTGTGGTCCTCTGCTCTACCCTCACCAGCATTTTCCTGTCTTTCTTGAACTGGGGAACCCAGAACTGGACACAGTGCTCCAGATGGGGCCTCACCAGGGCAGAGTAGAGGGGCAGGATGACCTCTCTTGACCTGCTGGTCGCACTTCCTGATGCCCCCCAGGATGCCATTGGCCTTCTTGCCCATGCTGGCTCATGGTCATCCTGTTGTCCACCCGGACTCCCATGTCTTTTCCCTTAGAGTTGCTCTCCAGCAGGTCAGCCCCAAACTGTACGGGTGCAGGGGGTTATTCCTCCCCAGGTGATGACATAAAGTTATTGGGGCACAGGATAAGGGGAGATGGTTCTGCAGAACTGCAGGGAATTGCAAATACATGTCCCACACTCACCTCTCCTGCCATGAACTGCCCAAATCCGGGAGGAAAAGTCATAGTTGCTATAAGGAAGGTTATAACCCCAGGGTATATGAGGCGGCTGAAAAGAAAGAAAAGTTTATTGAAATATAAACCCACATTCTTTTATTGCAGCACTATCCCTTCGGGACTTTGAATGCTATTTCTGTGCAAGCTCTCTGCCACATTTGTATCCATCTCTTTGGAGTTCTGTTACTGTCAATTTAATGCCCTGCTCTACTGATCATCATCATTCATTGAGCGTTCAACTGTCAGCAGTGCCGTTTTTCCCACCAGAATTAATGTCATGGGAGGGATGGAGGGAGAGAGGGATGTATGAAATGCATAAACTGGAATGTGTAGCAAGGTAGAAGTGCATTTACAATGATGTGTTGACCTATTGTCAAAAGCCAGCACCTCCTCCATTTGTCCTGATTATGCCAGTCTTGCTTCTTCATCACCTGTGCAATGTGTCCTGTCCTAGTGTACTTAAATGTAGGGGGGTTTCCTACATTTCTGCATGCATCCCCCACCGCATTAATTCTTATGAGAAAAACTGCTTTTCTTTCCATTGCATTGCTGATTTTTGGGAAGGTGTCCTTGGTGGCCAGTGAATCTAACTGTGTCGGGCCAGTGGGGCATAGCTGGGGAGCAGGGTGAAGTCATCTGTGCTTTCCTGCTGCTGTGTTCAGCCCCAGGATGGGTTTCTGGGTGAGCTGTAACACCTCAAGGGCACTAAGACAACATGAGTCTAAGCTGCCTCCACGTGCTGGACGAAGCCTGTGAGGTCTCCCCTGACAAATTGCTGTGTTCCCTACAGGAAGTTTTGGCTGAGATGCTGTGGTATGCAGGAAGACAAAATGTAACCTTTAATTTCTTCCTGTCTTAGGACCCACAAAATTCTGAGAACTTAGTCAAAAGTTTAAAGTAAATTCCCACTTTTCAGGCTTTGCTCCACTTCTCTATTAACTTCTTTGATGGTTCTGCCGGTGCTTGTGAGTAATGCTACATAATGAAGAAAGACAATTTTTCTTCCACATAATAAATTAAGTTAGTTTGAACCTCTTTTTAAGTAGTGGTTTTCTTCTGCTTAGATCTGCAAGTTGCTAAGAAATGTAGGTCCTCCACACCTCTCAACTTAAAAAATTCTCATAGCATCAGATTTCTTCTGTAAAGAGACTGAAGTCATTTACAGTTAGCAGATGGCACAGTTACCTTTTCTTCTTCAGGTTATAAATTTATTAGAAAGGGAAAAAAATGATCAAGTGCCCCATAAAACCTTTATTGCTAAGATTTTTGTTTTGTTTTGCATTTCTCTTCCATGCTTCACTTCACGCCATTTGGTTACTTTCAGTTTCAACTTTTGGTTTGTAAGCATGCAGTGATTGCAATACCGCAGCACATTCTTTACAATTTTGCCTACATTTTGGTTAAGAAAAAAAAAATAGATTTTAAAGGCATAGTTAGATTTCAGTTGTATTTAGTTTTCTGAAAATATAAATGATGTTGAATTTATTTTTTACCAATTCTAAAAAATTAAAGAGAAGCAGCATGATCTTAAGAAGCACGAGCATTGATTTTCTAATTAAAAATATTTACTGTCCAATCAATAGTTTCCCTTGTCCTCTAAATGAATATTACAGAGTATCCTTTCTAAATCAAGAAGCTATTTGAAACTATTGGGGAAGAAAATCTGGTGCAGAACAAATTCTCTTGACGTTTGCAGGCATTTTACTTTCATATTATTTCATTTTCTCATATTTTTACTATCTTACACTTGATACAGTTCTACCAGCTTCTAGAAAGCATTTGGTACTCTCCAATACCAGTAGGGTATAAAAATCTGGTCCTTAAAGAGAGTATCTTCAAAGACACTCACTATTTGGTGAGAAACTGGCTCAGAGCCGTGTGACGCCGGATGCATAGGACCACTTGGCGATTGAGATAAACGAAAAATGCTCCAAGGAATCCAGAACATATCCTGAAGTGGAAGAAAATGAATAAAATCATACCAAACAGCAGATAATACACAAACCACCAACCAAGAAAATGAGTTTAAGTGTTTTTCATCTTACAGCTGTTTATGAAGCATTTTAAATGCCACCTAGAGGGTTACTCCTACAGCAACTCGCTTGAAGACAACGACTCCCCGATGAAAGGGGGGAGATTATTTTTGACCTGTTTGTCACACACACTGCCATTTTACCACTTAAATTTTCTCTTGCTCAGAGAAGGAAATCCCATCTATAAAAATCTATAGAATATTCTATAAAAATAATACATAAAAGGGGACTGACAGATCTCAGTGAGGGCTGACGAAGGGCAACTGGGCAAAGACCAGTATTGTTAGAACTTTTAGACATCAGGTTGGAACAGGAAAGAGTAAAAAATGAAGGGAGTTTAACTCCGATTCAGCAAAATTATACACCCACATCAAAAGCAATAGCAACTGTTGTGCCTTTAGCAAAGTATGCCATCTCTATGATCTTAATCACTTAGGCCTACGTTCCTGATCTTAATAAAGTCAAAAAAGTATAGTTGTCTAAGGACTGGCCTTGATCCTTACGGTCTTTAGCCTAACAAGACCTGGAAAAATAGGGCCTGATACTCATAGGTGAAGTAAAAAATAAATAAATAAACAAAAAATACTGAAGACAAACAGATAGCATTTTCATTCTATTGATTTTTAAATTGAATGGAACTTTCCTTTTTTATATGTTATACAGGATTTTGCCAAAGCTCATTCAAAGATTAATTTAGCTTACTTAAAAAGCTGTATGTTGAAAAAAATCCTGCTTGATCATTTAAAAATTACATAAAAACAAGTTTAAACTAAATATAAAGCTCTTCACAGACAAACACATCCAATGAACTTCTCTTAAATATTTTAAGCCAGCACTGTTTAGCACTAGTGTTAAAATAGACCAGTCCCTTAGGCAACGTAAGCCTAAGGGCTGCACAGTGAACTGAATATCTTTATGCTAAAAAATAGATCCCTCCATTCGTGCCTATGAATTTGTCAATAAAACAGAAGTGCTTCTCCTGTATATATTTTGCAAATTAACAACATTTGTGGACACAGAAAAGATCTACCTGTTAATAGTGTTTGGGCTGGCTCAGTTTTTTGTCCTATCTGAAAGTGAAGAAATATGTTGGATAGAAAGAGAGTTCAGCTTTGAGATTTAATGTTAAGAGAATTTGGAAAATTCCAAGTTGGCATCAGGGCTTTATCCAAGGACTTTATGCAAGTCTTTCGCCTGTTTTTTTTTAAAAATACCACATGGGATACCCAGGCATTTAAAAGCATTTCACAGTTGTCGTGTACTCCTTTCCTAGCTTATATGCAGTACTGAAAAAAACAGCTCTGCCAACTCTGTTCAAAACAGACAAGGACCAGAAGTTTTGCATTCTATCAGCTGTAAATCATAAGGGTTACATTCTTCCTTGCCAGTCTAAACAAATAGATTCCCCTGAGTTCAGCGTGCAAGTCTATTTAAGGAAAAGAACAACGTGGATAGATATTACTAGCAAAAGTTCCTGTATATTTATAGATTTTCAAAATATCCAATGTTTTCAAAAAATCTCACTTTAGTTCATATTCAAGTAAACGAATATGAGGGCAGCTTACTAAAAGGAGCTGCAAAACCTCAAATATATTTCTAGTCTTAGATATGTTCACAGCGCCAGCACAGGTATTTGTTCTTACAGTATATTCCCTTCACTGCTGCTCTGCAGTGATTTCCCTCACACCTCTCTCAAGTTCTAACCCAAGACTTTTCCTCACAGCTATTCCAAGATCACATTTTTCTCTAGTATTTCCCAATTCTCTTCTCATTTTAGTTAGTTGCATTCTTTCATTTGCCAAAATTTCCTCCCTAAATGAAACCGAGTCAGATATCTCCACAAATAAAACAAAACACTTATCTTCATAAATTTGCTGCTGTTTTCACTGAATCCAATTACGGTTCAGTTACCCTTGCCACCATGCTGAGTGTACCAACCTCTCTTGAAAAGGATAACCATTCTGACCTTGTAAAAGGGAAACTTCCTGGTTAATTCTTTTGTCCCATTTTTGTCAAGTGAAAAGGCGATACTTGTTGGGTCAGTTCATTTGGGGATACCATCAGAACAGTTAAAGGGCCAGTCAGTAAATCTACACCCAGAACCTAAACCAAGTTAGACTTACTTTTTTTTCCCCTGAACTTAATTTCTGAAAAAAGTTATGTGGAAATGAAATAACAAACAGCTTGATAATACTCACATTTCCTTCCTTACCCATTGCACTACATGGGCATAATTTCTGAAGGAGGAATCTCAACAAGCAGTGGCCTTATTTTTGACAATCCAAATGTCTAACAGAGGTATAAGTAACTCTTTTTCAAAACAATTCCTAACAGAGCTCATACTATAACCTTTGTAGAGCAAGGAGCCAGGTTCCCAGGAACTTACCCTATTACAGCAAACGCTGGCAGCTCTTGCAGATCAAAGGGGAAATCCATGCGAAAGTTTGTTCTGAACAGGGCTGTGATGGTAACTGTGAGACAAGAAAAAGATAGAGGAAAGGGAATAACGAAGTGATAAGTTAAATGCCATAAAATCTAAGGGTAGGGACAGGGGAACTAGTTTTCACATGCTCCTGTGTGGCTTCATGACATTACATACAATATTACAGATTGGAATACTGGTCTGATTTCTGTAGTGTTTATTTTTGAGCACTTGCAACACTAGCAGTCTAGATGGTATAGGTTTGTTTTTAGAGAATGTATATATTTTTTAGCTACAATCTCAGATATTTAAAGGGTTTTCTTTTCTTCTGCCATCCATTCTCTAGAAAATAAAAACTCTTCCCGCTATACTCGCTAACCCCAAAAACTCTCTTTGCTAAGGCAGGCAGTGCTTACATATCTGGAGATGCTGTGTCACAGATAGTTGTGGTTGCCTTTTAGAAACAAAACTCAGGTCTTCTCTGAACTTATATCTGTGACATTTTTGACTGGTACCAAAAGAATGAAAGTCATAGAAATCAGAAATGGAAAAGATCTGCTAAGCCTCATCTTCTCCAGCTCTTGGTAGTGTTGCACTGTGAAAATGACTCCGATGTTGACACCTGTCCTGCTTTTACATGGAGGTACCTAATTGTGTGGAAACAGTAAATATGTGTATGCCAACAGGTGACGTGCAAACTAGCAATCTAGCGCAGAGTGGAAATGCAGCTGAATGAGGGCAGATGTAAATCCCAACTTGCTCTGGATGAAGGAATTATTTGCACAATGAGGAAAGAAAAGAAGCAGTGAAAATCCAGCATTATATGATTATTACAGGAGACAGTAATTACTTGTTAATTGGCCAGACAGGACTAGGTTTAGAGCAATGATTTAATCACATCTCTGTGGGTTGCATTACGTAAGATACCTAAGCTTGTCTAACCACATGCTGCCATTCAAAATGGGAAGATCTTATTCCTTGCCTCTTCACCATGTTCCTTCCCTCCTGGATGCACCATTCTCCCCTCCTGTCGGATCTACTCTGACATATGTCAAAGCCTTCACTGAGTTCTTTCACCTAATAAAAACCTACTGAAAAAAAAAAAAATATCTACCTGCTCTTTTTCTGGAAAAGTCCTGTGCCAGGGAAATGAATTGAATGGAGGGATCCAATGAACACAGATGTGGTACAAGGGAGGGGTAGAGGAACAGTCAGGGATGGAAGACAGTGAAAAACAGGATGTCAGGGTGTCCTCTTTTTTTGCTAGATCAGCCCAAGAAAGAGATCATCTCAATTTAGTTTTAGGAAACAGATAATCCAAACTACTAAATGACAATGCATTAAAAAGTATAGTAGGGCTCACTTTTGAAGAATTTTGCTGCAGGGCCACAAAGACAACCAGAGCAAAGAGAAACAGTCACAGCACTGAGTCTGAGTCTTTCCAGGTTCCCTCTCTAGTCCCAGAAGACAGAAAGAGAGTTCAAATACGATGAAGGCTTGGGACACGGTGAAACAGAAATCCTGAAAATAGTCACAGTACCTATGTAGCAGAGTTGCTAATTGTTGTCTTGGGGGCCTGTGGTGTTGAATGGACTTCTTCAGGGGTCAATATTGGAACTGATTCTGTTTAGCATCTCTCCTAGATTATAGGACTCACTCATCAGTGACCATACTGAACTGAGGAATGAGAAAAGGGGGTGGTTTGTCACTTGGAAGGCTTCACTCAGAGTGGTGTCCACAAGCTGGAAGAGTTGACTAGTAGGAACACCATAAATTCAACAAAGACAAATATTTAGTCCTACAACTGGAATGGTAGGTGTGTCAGTACAGCCTGGGGGCTAGTCAACAGGAGAAACTCTGCTCTCATGCCAGTGGGTTCTGGTGAATACAATCCTTAATATGTGCCCTTGTGGCAATGAAAGCTAACCACATACTGGGCCACATCAGCAAAAGCACAACCAGCCAGTTGAGGGTGGTGATTATTGCCTTCTATATGGCATTGATGAAGCCACATCTAGAAAACCCAGTACAAACGAAACATTGCAAAACTGGAGACAGTCCTGTGGTGAGCCCCAAAATGGTATAGGGCATGGGCTACAGGAGCTAGGTCTACTCAGCCTGGAAATGAGAAGGCTCAAGGGGGTTCTAACAACAGTCTCCCATCATGGGGACGTTGTAAAGACACAGTGAAAGAAAAAGAGGCAATGGGCACAACTTCCAACAAAGGAAATCTGTCTCCATATAATAAGCAAATGCTTCCTTCTGGGGAGGTGGTTCAGCGCTGGAACAGGAGCCCAGAGAGGCAGTGGAATGTTGTCCCTGCTGTAAGCAGGAGTTTGAAGTAGAGAGCTCCAGGGTTGCCCTCCAATCTAAATCTTTCTATGATTCAGAATTTTCCGTGGAAGACAGCAACATCTGAACATGATATTGAATTAGTCTACCCTCGTTGGAAGCAGAGAGGATTGCATAAGAAAGGTAACCATTTGTCTTGATGAATGCAAAGTAATGTAGTGGGGTCAGGTTGATTGATACATTAGAAAAGAATCAAATTTAACAATAGTATTTCAAGATGGACAGTTGGATTAGTGTAGACAGCTCTAAGAAAATGGTCTTTTTACCTTTCTCCTAACTGCAGCTGCTAAAAACGTGCAGAAGCTGCATAAAAATGGTATCGTAATTCACAGTATTGCATTGCAATATTGTAATGCCTTCCAATAGATCCATGCTATAGCCACACCTGCTTGGAACTCTCATATCTCAAAAATGCACAGTATTGCATTGCAATATTGTAATGCCTTCCAATAGATCCATGCTATAGCCACACCTGCTTGGAACTCTGATCATCTCAAAAACATTCTGGAAGAGAGGTGACCTAAGAAAAACCCTTGCATGAACCAAGACTGAAAAGACCAGGATTGTAACTTTCAGAAGGAAATGAGCAAGAAAAGACATGAAAGATAAGTTGGAGCAGGCACGATAAAAAAATCATGAAAAAATGAATTACTTTGCTAGACAAAAGATTCTAGTTCCTTAATAAAAGGACAAGGACATTGCCAACACAGACAAAGGAAATTCAGAACTATGAAAATGAACTATTTTTCATAGACAATTGGATAATGGAACTCTTTAACCCAGTCAGTCAATGAAGCAGAACCTAAGGAGCCATTAGTGTGGATATTAAAGCTGTCCAGGTGATTTTTGAAGAAGGGATAGTAATTAAGACGTTTCAGAATTAAGCTAATTTCTAATGATTTGGGAGATCAGCAAGGGAGCAAGAGTAGATAAAGTGAAGGATAGGATATTATCTCCTGACATTTGCCTTTGAGTTTCTTATATTTTCCTCTAGAAAGAACAAAAAGATGTGTTTTCTGTGACAGATCTGATGGTTGAATAGCCCTCAATAAGAGGCAGTGTTTTCCAAAGAAAGATATAGTCACTTTCTGTATTCAAGTAGAAGTGTAGCCACTTTCTATATCCAAGAGAATATTAAAGCCAAATAATGTTTTAGCACAAAAAAAATAATCTAACCCTGTGAAGTCAAGAGACACAAAAGTTCTAGCAGGTTTAAGTAAGGGAACTGCCTACATGGAGCTTAGATCAATAAACCAGATATAACTGTAAGAATAAAATATAAAGACATTATAAGCAAGAAGTTTACAAAGAAATAACAGCCTTCTCCATCATCTGGAACTCAATTCCCACAGTATCTGGAATGCTCTCCTGAACAAGCTTGGCCTGTGCTATTTCTCTCTGCACAAATCTTGCACTCATGCTTTGCAGTTACTTGAGACAGTTATGTTTTCAGGACCTACCAAACCTGCAGCCTTCATAATCATTTTATCATCTCAATTTTCTAGACTATTTGGTTTTTATGCTCCTAGTCAAGAGATGACCAAAGCAGACCTTGGCAATTCCAGCAGATCACAGCAGCATACGCTATGTATTGCATCCTCTGTGATGGGATACCTCTGTGCTTGCAGCCTTGACATTATCCTGAATAGAGGTAAAAATACCTCCTCAGGGGGCCTCTTACTTGCTGAAGACTCTTAATTAGTCATTTTTCAGTCATATGCCCAGCACACCTAGGAATAGGTTGGGTTATACAATGATGACATAAGTTACTTCCCTTTCTTTTTCCTTCTCTACTGGTGGAATTCACATGTCGCGGCAGAAGTTTCAAACATCATACAAAGTTGTGATTTTGAGGAAGATGGAAAATCATAAGCTAAGAGAGCAAGTTTTGTCCAAAGAGAGTAGGAATGGCTCTTAGCTTACCTGCATCCTTGTTCCAAACAGCAAGGACTCGGAAAATGAAGGCACTAAAGGTAGCTGCAAAGAAACCTCTCCAATAATTGCGCACTGCAAAGTAAGTGGAAGTGACCTCAATGCTGAAAAGGACCCCTAGGAAGAGATGGAAAGGGACCAAAGTTAAAATCAGAAGTGAGGTGTTCGAGGCATGAGAGAGGCTTCTAAATAGTCTTCTAGAGCAGTGGTCTCCACACTTTGATCACGCACCCCTACCGATAAAAGATTTTTGAGCAGGTACCCCCTAATATATGTGTATTTACTTAAAAATTACATAAATTTATTACTGTACTAATATATTAAGTACAATGCAAAACATACACACACAAAAAAGCAATTAAAAAAGACAAGATAAAGATAAAC